TGAGTCCTTGTCTCAAAAAACAAAAACAAAAACAAAAAAACCTCCATTTTCAAACAGTATCCCTAAACAGTACTACAACATTATGTTTTATTGTGTTACCCTCTTATCTCCCTCAAGTATATGTTACAGTGACACATAATTGTAATCCCAGAGCTCCAGAGGCTGAGACAGGAGAGTTGATACAAGCTAAAGGCTAGCTTCTGGGTTAGTCAGGGCTAGCTACTACAAATGAAAACTTGTCTCAAAAAATACATGCCAGCTATAAAATAACATTATCTAAAGAACCAAAAGTAATAAATTAATTCATTTTATATTTTAAAGATTTTACTTAAATTTAAAGTATGTATATATGTGAGGATACACATAAATATAGTATCCACAGAAGCCAGAAGATGACATCATATCCAATGTGGGTCATGAGCCACCCAACATGGGTGCTGGAAACTAAACAGTATATGTGTTCTTACCTTCTGAGCCAGCTGTCCAGCCCCTCATTTACATTTTTTTTAAAAAACACTTATGGCTAACTATGAACCACAACAACCAGCATGGAAAATAACCCCAAAGGTACAGTAGTGATACTCATACCTTAGCGGTAACCAAAACAAGTCTAACTGAAGTACTCAACAAGAAGAAAAGCATGCCTTGTACTGGAAACCTAACCAAGTAATGACCCTTGTTTAGTGCAATCATAGATCTTAGATGAAAGCCTACAACTACCACTTTACTAAACCAGCATAATCCCTACCTACATTCTAAGTATTTTTGCCTATACCCTCATCAAAGAAACTTCTTTTTGCAACCGATAGAGACCATTACAGAAAACCACAAGTCATTGTGCAGATTTGTGGAGCCCAGGCCCAATGGATACATCCATAAAACATCCCAATACCTAATACTCGGGGATCATTGTGGAAGAGCTAGTGAAATGGTTCTAAGAACCAAAGGTCCAGGGAGTTCACTATGACTGTCTCCTAACACTCTCAAAAGTTATACCCACAATGTCTCACCACCATGATTGCCTCAACACGAGCTGATCAAAGACAACAACAATATACAGAGATGACAGAAGAGTCCAAAAGGCCTAAACCCTACACAAAGAACTAAAGCAACTGAGAAATGCTGAGTGGATTCTCCCCTAGAGAAGAGCACACCAATTAGTTATCCAATACCAAATAGTCAGCCCTAAAAACATATGTACAAGTAACATTATACAGACTGAGTAGGTTATATTTAGGAAGATAGATAGATAGATAGATAGATAGATAGATAGATAGATAGATATAGATACACACACGCACACACAGAGAGAGAGAGAGAGATACATATATGCATGTAACAAAAATGAAGTCAAAAGGAGGCCATGAATTTGAAAGAGAGGAAGGAGTGGTATATGAGAGGGTTTGAAGGGAAGAAAAGGAAGGGGAAATAATATAATCATATTACCTCAAAATAAAAATAATTGAAAAATTAAAGGAAATAAATAGATCTGCCTAATAACAAGAAAGTTTTCCTGATAAGGATTTTGTTTGTTTCCTTAATGATGAAGCAGTTTCTTCAAAGTTTGTTTTAATTTTTAAATTAAAATTACATATCTGTAATCCTAGGAGTTGGGAAGTAGTGGCATGAGTTCAAGGTCAACTTTTTCATATAGAATATTTAAAGCCAGCTTGGACTATAAGAAAGCCTGAGTTGAAATTTTTAATGACATCTCAGAGATGAGATTGTGAACAGAAATTTAAAAAAAACACAACTGAGCTGGAAAGTTTGCTCAATGGTTAAGACCACTTGCTGCTCTTGCAAAGGACCAGAGTTAAATCCCTAGCACCCCAGGGCAGCTCAAAACTGTAACTTCGGATCACAGGGGATCTGATGCACTTTTCTGACCTTAGTGGGCACCAGGCACACACAAGGTACACATACACGAACACAGGAAAGATGCTTATACATGTGAAATAATAAAATAAATAAATCCAAAAAAATACTACTCACAGCCTGGACATGCTTCTTTACTATAACCCAACTATGGCCTACTATAAAAATGAAAACCAATTATAATTTAAACATGCACAGCATCTCTAGAGAGTAATCTAAAAGTGGGCTTTATAAAGAAGTCTATATCTTTGTTAATTCACTGAATCAAATATAAACTTTGTCATTTGGAAGTAGCTATTGTATGCTACAACTCTCCCAAAGATTTAAGGAACTCCTACTACATCCACTCAAGGTTACAACCATCTCACATAATATCACCCTAAAAACCAACCCTTTAATGCATGGAACTTTAGAAGACTCTTAGTCAAATCGCTATGATTTGACTAAGTGTTGATGATTTTTATACATAATTTGTAAGTATATAGCTTATGCATACAATTTATAAGTATATACAAATACTTCTATATAAAGTAACTTTGCAAACTTACTTCCACAACTAAATAATAGATGCAGTGGTTTATTTTATGCTACAAAAAGGAAATAAATTATGGGGGTTTTGTTTATTTGCTTATTTATTTGTTTTTTTAAAAGACAGGGTTTCTCTGTGAAACCACCCTGGGTGCTCTAGAACTCATTCTGTACATCAGGCTGGCCTTGAATTCACAGATATCCATCTGCCTCTGCCTCCCAAGTGCTGTGGGTGTGCACCAGCACCAGTCTGCAAAATTATGTACTTTTATAGGACATTTTTCCTGGTTAAATTCACCTCTTTCTTAATAGATAATGATAATCTTTTTTATGATAATCATTTTTAAGACAAAGTCTAATTTACCCAGGCTGTCCTCAAATTAGCTATATAGCTGATTATGACCTTGAACTTTTGCCTCTATCTCCTGAGTGCTGAGATTTTAAGTATATGCCCCCATACCCAATTTTATGTAGTGCTGGGAACTGAATCCATGTATCTCCTGAATGCTAAGCAAGCACTCTGCCAACTGAGCTAAATCCCCAGCCCTAGATTACAATAATCTTAATCGTATGCTTATTAAGAGGAAAACCTGGCCGTTAACCATAGAAACTACCAGTCGGGTTATTGTCTCCATGATTTGAGCAGTTATACCTGTTGGGTCAGTTAAATCTGAACTTACAGGTTCCTGTTTAGAAGGGACAGGAAGAAATTTTCTACATTTTTTTAAGCTAATACACTAGTGAGGTGAAACAAATGAATCAGACAGAGCACACACATATCACCAAATTGGTGAATAAAACTTAGATGGCCACTAGATGTGAACTTTGATTACCTTTCCCTGTTCGGGGTATTTTTAAATGTTAATTTTTACCTGTACCAAGATTAGTGGGCTATTCTAATTTTACTAAGTTAAAGGGAGTATATCTTATTTCACTGGGCTTAGTAAGGGAGCATAAAGCTCAGACTGACTACAAGCAATCTATTAGGGATGGCCCCTTTTGCTAACATCTGAAATAGTCTTTTGCATGCTGTTTTCCACTCTAAGTGCCTTGGGTTCTTTTTAAATTATGTGTACTTCAAGGAAGCATTAGGAATCACATAGGAAAGCCCCCTCTCCAATTCCTGAGGAACCCTCCGCCAATCTTCATATACCCCTTCCTCTTATCACGCTTGATATATTACTGACCACAAAATAATCCCTGCCAGATGCCCAGCCCCCTTATTTGGTGCATTGCCTCAGATGATGTAGTAAATTTATCATGCTCAGAAGTATCCAGAGGTCCTTGTAATAGCTACAGTTTGTTTCAGAACACTGACTTCCTCATCACCTTGTGCAACTCAACTGCTTAGCAGCAGCGGCTGAACTATCCTCTTATCAAGGAATTCTACAGGAACAAACAGCCATGTTAAATTCTATGAATACTGATCATGTTCAGAAATCCTAAATACAAAAAGGTAAACCAAGTGGCTAAAATTTACACTCTTAAACATATGAGCATATGTGTATGCTCCAGCACTATAAAACAGTCTTGAGTGACAAAAAAAAAGAAAAAGAAAAAAAGAAAAGCCCCACAAAAGCAATAATAAGACAGGTGAACCATAAAACCCTCAGTACTCCCTAGGAACTACATTTTATATCATTGATAGGCACTGTAAATATCCAGCTGGTGTTAATAACTTTCATGCTATTGGTTTTTAAGTAAAAATTCATATTTGGGGCTTTATATTAACAATTTTATCACCAATTACTGGTGGTGACAACAAATGACAGACAAAAGGCTTAACAAGCAGTCTTTCTCCAAGCTTCAAGGACAGCAGAAAACAAAACCAGCACCTGCTTCCTCCTTTCCAGGTATGGGGCAAGCAGAAAGAAGCTATGACACCCTTTGTTTCACAACTCCACATCAAAGTCAAGGAATAATAAAATGGGAAACTACAGCTATAGAGTTCTGAGTCCACCCCTGGACCTAAATGGGGAACTTACTTTGGACTTGACCAATGCTCTTCTCTTGAAGCCCGGAGTCCCTGTTCTACAACTGGGCATTAAGATTTTCCAGTTTCATACCAATAATCAAAAGTATGTTAGTGAACAAACGTATGAAGTAGGTATGTATGTATCGCAAATATAAAGCAGGGACAACATTTAGTCCTAGGCCAAGAGCCATACAGATACACATGAACACACCCATCAAGTTCAAATCCCAACAAGGCACCCTGAGTGTGCAGTCAACAAAGGGAGGGGCAGGAGCAAGGAACAGAGGTTAAAGCAGACAGCAGCCAAAACAAACATCACTTCCAGAACAGGGCAAACTTTGGGTCTGGAAGCTGAAGAACCCTCAGAAACGATAGAGGTGTTGAGACTCTCTCAAGGAATGAAGAGCGCACCCAAGCACTGGGAGAGGAGGAGATGAACTGCAGAGGAGGCTAGTGTCTCTGGGGACAAGGGCGTCGCCGCCATCCTCAGCTGCACAGCACTCCCCTTTTTGCCGCCCTGGCTGACGCCCTCCAGATCCCTGAGAACAGTCGCTGTCGCCCCATTCTTCCATAGACACTGTCCCTACAGACCTGTGAAGGATAAAAGAGCGCAGAGACACACCTGGTGCAACGTCTCCGGAGGCAGCTGCGACGCTCGGAACAGATCAGCCACTGGACCGGCGGCCGCAGTGGCAGTGCCTGGGGCGACCCTGGTAGCCTCGGGGAGCCCAGGTCCCGGGGCCCCGCTTGCAGCGCCTGAACAGCGCGCGAAGAGCTCCGAGTAGCACTGCTGCTCGCTATCACTCAGCAGCAACGGCGGCCCCGCGCCACAGCCTCCACCCGCCGCCACCTCCATAGGGCCTTCTCTAGGGTCCCGACCGAGCGCTTTCCCCGGCCGAGGTGCCAGTGCCTCCTCCAGGGCCACCACCGCCGCCTTGGCCTCCGAAGCCGCCGCCCCCACGCCCCGCAGCTGCAGCGCCACCGCTTCCTCCAAGCGCGCGCCGGCCCCGCCCCCCGGGCTTGAATGTTGTGCCTTGGCGGCACGGCACATGGAGACAGGCGCGGCACCGACCAATCACGAGCCGGAATCGCACCTGGGCCCCACCCCTGACGGCCTCCCTGCCCCGCCCCTTCGCCAGGTAAGGAAGGCAGCTCCTCCAGCTGCCCTGCCAAGCCTTTCACCTGCTCTGCGGGAGAGACCAGACCAGGAGAGTGGGGGCCAAAGCTGCTCCAAGCCCTCGCAGCACCTGACGGGTATCTTGGGCTCTCCACCCTGGCTGGCAAGGGAACTTCTGGACACACACACACAGGAACAAAAAGCACTTTGGGGAAAACTGATGTGTTTTCTATTTAAGAGTCCTGAACAGAAGTGGTGTCCATTTAGAAAAGAGACCAGGCACGAAAAGCTGGGTTTCCCCTCCTCTATAATAGTATCGCCTATGGCCTGAAAAGCTAAAGAACAGAGGTGTTCTCAAGAGTGGGGTCCCAGTGCCTCTCCAGAACTTTGGACATGGCCATAGGGTTAGGGCACTTTCTCAGGTGTGGCTCAGATCTGGATTTGAGCCAGTTCCTCTTAAATACTAGAGGAAAGGGGGTGGAGTGCTCTTTTTGCGGATGTAAGATTCAGTCTGCTCAGTGCTCTACTGAAATCTGGGAAACAATTGGTGGGAGGTACTATGTGGAAATTTTATGCTTATGAAGTCTTGAAAGTACTGACCTCTGTAACGCAACGTCCTCGCCTTCTGGAAGGATTTTTTTTTTTTTTTTTTTTTTTTTTTTTTTTTTGGACAAGCTCTTTCCTTAAGACATCTAGCTCTGAAAATACTTCTTTTCACAGAAAAACAATCATTTTAAATACAAAAGTTTTCAAGTTCCTATCAAAAAAGTCAACACTAGAACCCAGAACTTTACAAAACCCACGTGTTTTGTTTTTCAGATGGGCTTTCTCCCCTAGGGCTATTGTTCTAGTCAAGCCTCTAAGAAGAGAAAGTCTATGCTGACTGTGGTGACTGATGCTTGTAACAGTAGGAGGCTGAGGCAGGAGAATCCCTGACATTTTGAAGCTGCTCTAAGCTACATAGTGAATTCCAAGCTAACCTGCAAAAAGAAAAAAAAAAGTCTACAAAATAATCTACTAGAAAAAAAGATCTGCCCCACAACAACACTGCAGATTTCAACATCAGACTTGTATAGTTGCATTTTATTTTTCTAAAAGAAAAATCACTTCTTAAAAGACAGGGTGGTCTCTCTACATAACCCTGGCTGACCTGAAACTCACTCTGTAGACCAGGCTGACCTCAAACTCACAGTGACGCGACTGTCTCAGCCTTCCACGTGCTGGGATAAAGGCATGTGCCACCATGCTGGACCCCAAAAGAAAAATCTTAAATGCCATTTTTCTTGAGAAGAGTAGCACAAATGTACCCATTACACATGCATGTCTCACTGCAAAACACTAACCCAAATAGGGGGAAACTTTTCGTGTTTAAACACTAATAAAAGGACATGTTAGGGCTGGAACTGGTGGCACACACCTTTTTAAACCCAGCATTCAGGAGGCAGAGGCAGATAGGTATCTGTGAGTTTGAAAGCAGCCTGGTCTACTTAGTGAGTTTCATTCCAGCCAGAACTACATAGTGAAACACTGTCTTAAGAAAAACACATGGAGAGAGGAAAACTATATATGTATACATATAGATTTATTTATACATACATTCATAGAGGTATATTCCATCCCAAATATTTTTATTTTAATTAAAGTATGAAGTGGCCAGATGTGTCACATGCCTGTAATCCTGCCACTCCAGAGGCAGACCAGCCAAAGCGAAATGGCAAGATCTATATCAAGAACAGTAACAACACACACACACAAAAAAAACAAAGACAACTCAAGAAATATTATCAGTGTTAACAAATGCACTTTGATATAATAGACAACTAAAATAAAGACCAATGGAAGAAAGAGAAGTGGAGAGAGATGAAGTCACGAGATGAGGAAAACTTAAAAGGAAAGGGGAAGAAAGATATATGAAAGAAAAAAGAAATGTGTTAATCTCAATGATGGCCAGAGTTGTACTTCCCTTTTAGAATCTGAAGAAATAAAATGCAGAAGATCCATGGTAGGATATGACTCAGTAACAGCATTTTCGTAGCATGCACCAAGTACAAGTATGGCTTCCAGTACCAGAGAAGAAAAAGTAAAGGAGATTCAACCCAAACATGTTGGCAGCTAAGTGAAATGTCCTGTCTTTCTCTTTCTTTATTTTAGTTTCATGAAACTTCAACATGAAATCTGAGCATGCCCAGAGGCATTCCTGTTATCTTTATGATGCAAACTGAGCAAGTCCACAAGTGTTGTCTGCCTCCTGTAGCTTTTTGAACATTGGCTAAATAACAACAAACTAAGTACAGCCAGAAATGTGTCTCTTCTCCCTCGAACTAGCACCTTTTACTGAGCATGCTTAGGAATGTGCCCACCCTTAAAGGTCTTTCCCATATGCATGTGTGTCCACTCCCAGAATAAAACCCCATGTTTCCTTTGTTCACAGAAGGCACTGCTTTGGACATAACTCCAAACTCATATTTCCTGCCCTGCCCTTGCCTGTCTTAGCTTTGCACTCATCAAGAGGCGAACTCAGTTTTGATTACAAATACAGAAAGTTCTCTCTTGAAAGCTTTGATTCCTTATTCCATATTTTGCTTCACAACTGCTGGAAGAGACGATGACATCAATACAGAAAGAATAAAATAAAGAGACAGCAGAGAATTTTAAATTCAAAATCCCATCACACTTTCTATGACTGACATACCTTCTCAGGAACATGGAAGCCATGAGATAGGTAATTCTCTTCCTCCTTTCCCAATTATTCTTAGCTTTCCAGAAGAGTAGCTTCATAACAGAGTAGCCCACTCCATGTGATAGGCAACAAGCTCCACTTCCCCCAGGGAATCCCATAAGAACAAATATAGGCTACCATAGCCATGGATGTTCTTATAGTAGGTAAAGACAAAAAAACAAAAGAACAAAAAAAAACTTTACAGGATTTTTTTTGTGCACATTATATCATATAAGACTCATAGTAACTCTAAGGGAGATTAGGAAAATGATAGATAGATAGATAGATAGATAGATAGATAGATAGATAGATAGATATTTTGTTTGTTCTAGACAAGGTCTCATACAGCACAGGCTACTCCTGAACTCCTTATCCTCCTGTATGTGCCTGCTCAGTGCTGGAATTACCGGCATGCAATGCCACATCCAGTCAGGAAGACATTTTCTTGAGATGAAAGGTCTCACTTTGTATACGAGGCTGACCTCACATTTATGATCTTCCTGCTCTACATCTCAAATACTAGGATTACAAGTATGTGTCACTGTAGTGGTCTAAATGAAGCAGGTGTCTCATAGGTTCACGCATTTAAACACTTGGGTTCCTAGTGGCAGCACTATTGAGAGAGTTATGGGTGAAGGTACATCACTGGGACAGACTCTGAGAATTTCTAGCTGCACACCACTTCACTATCTGCTTCATGTTTGTGGTTGAAGTTGTGTGTGATGATATTTTGTTTATCATCTAACAAATAAAGCTTGCCTGAAGATCAGAGTGCAAAGCTACCCACACTAGTTAGCCATGGAGGCCAGACAGTGGTGATGCACACCTTTAATCTCAACACTCGGGAGACAGAAGCAGACAGCTCTTTGTTAGTTCAAGGCCACCCTGAGCTACATGAAATTGACCCAGTCTAAAAGAGCAACAGAGCTCACACAAAGGTAATCTCAACACTTGGGATCCAATGCCTTTAATCCCAGCACTAGAGAGGAATATACGGCTGGAGAAGACAGGAGCTCAGTGCAGTCTGAGGCTTGGTGGAGACAGATGCAGTCTGAGGACAGGATCACCCCCTTCAGTCTGAGCATTGGTAGAGGTGAAAACTCTCTAGTGGCTGGCAACTTTACTTCTCTGATCTTCAGCATTAACCCCAGTATCTGTCTCTTGGTTTTTATTAATCATGCTACAGTCGTGAGCTCTCAGCTTCCTGATCCACCTGCCCTGCCTGCCATTTGCTTCCATGCCTCCCCACCAGGATGAACCCTTAGCCCTTTAGAACTGTAAACTCTTTCCTTGGTAAGTTGCTTCTGGTCATGTTTTTCCCCCTTGTAATTTCTGTTTATTTGAAAGTCCACACAATTAAAAAAGAAAAGGGCAAGGTTGGTTCCTGCAAGTGCGCTTGTTGTTGCAGATGTCCTGGATGTTGTGAATCACATCAGACCTCAGCCTGTGCTCCTTCATGATGGCCAACGCCTTTCTGTCCATTGGGTTATGAGGCCTGAGGCAGCTGAGATAACTGCAGTTGCCTCAGGTGAAGGGCTCACAGACGTGGAGTCTCACACGGTTGTGGCTGCCTGAGAATCTGTTTCTGGCCCTCTCCTTTGTAACCTTTGCGTATCTCAGGCATGAAAAAAGGGTCACTCTGGACCAGGAGTACTGCCAGCTCCTCTTGGTTAAGCCTGGAGAGCTCGTGATTCTTTAAGATCAGGAAGTTCTGTTCTGAGAGAACTCCATGATAATATTTGCAAAGGTTCCGCTAGGAGTGTGAATAGTGGCACCGGCCCAGCAGGTTGAGCTTGCAGAGGTGCATCTGGGCATGGTATTTTTATAGCAGCTACAGAGATGCAAGTAATACAGTCACTATGGCCGGCAAGAAGACATTTTTATCTTCATTTGGCAGGTAAAAAAAAAAATGATTGTACAACTGGTGTGATTTGCCCAACATTTGGAGCTCATTTCCTTCACTACTCACCCCAACTTAATAAATCTGACAAATATTTATTAAACAGCAGATATTAAATAATATATAGGCAGTCTCACATCAG